TATAATAGGTAAGAAAAAATTTGTCCTTTCTCGATTTGTCAAAATAGACAAGTAATTAAGGACAATAAAAAATATTAACAAATAATTAAGTACAGATGACGTATTAAAAATGATATGATTCATGTTTTACTTTCTTATATCTAATAATTGGGTCCACTTTCTATGTGAATTGAAACTTATTTGTCATCTATTAGTTAGTCCACTAATTACACTTTAGTCTCTATCAATTGGGGAAATAATGCTACTAATAAAATGGGTTAATAGTTTACTTTCGTACCTAATTTGACCCCACTTTTTTTTTTTAATTGTAGATTGAGATTTAGAATTCGTTTGAATTATCTTTATGGCTTATGTATGATTTAAAAATAAATGTTTATAAATATTTTCTTATTTTATTCAAATCATATAATACTACAAAAAAAAATTATTTTGACTTAAAACATCTAAAACAAGTCAAATTCAAAAGAAGCTCTTAATTACTTTTCATCTATTAATCCAACAACTCAAAAATCGATATCTTCACACTACTAAAACAATGGAACAAAACCAACTGAGTGTTTTTTTTATTTATACTCTTCAACTGTAATTTTAATTTGCACTTTAAAAACCAACCATGCCTTTCAGTTTTTGTAAATAATTTCTTTTTTGAAGAACTGTGTCAATTTTCTTTTAAAAAATTAAAATACACATAAAAAAAAACTGACGGATACCCGTTGGTTTTCTATTAAAAATAAATAAATTGACGGTCGATTTTCCCTGGATTTTTTGGACCGAAAGCCCATCTTTTTTTGTATTTTTTTTAGTATTGTCTGTAGGTCTTATTTATTCCAAGGCATAGGCTTTTTCTCTTGCATCGATTCTTGTAATGTTTCTGAATCGCACAAACCCCATCCTCTTTGTTTAGCAACAAGACAAAGTTCCACAAGTCTTTTATATAATTTAGCCAAAAAAACTTCTGTCAATTGTCTTATTGTCTTTCATTTGGAGAAAAAAAATAAATATAATACCTTTTAGGGCTGCTAATTGATATGACCGAAATAATTAGGTGTCATGCGAAAGTTGACAAAACTTCGATAGATCTTGAGTAAGAACACAAACGAGAAATATATCTAAAGACACAAACATTTATCTTGGTTCAATCAACCAACCAACATTCACAAAAGGAGATGATCAGTATAAAAATATGAGAGTACAAAATATCGAGAAAAATAACCTCACACAACTCACCCTACCGTACTTGTCTTGTCTATATATATATTCTCATTACTACAAGTTCCTTCATCTCTTCAACAATGGCAAATACTCAAACCCTATCACAATCACAAAATCCCCATATAGTCATGCTACCAACACCCGGCATGGGTCACTTAATCCCTCTCGTTGAATTCGCCAAACAACTCATTTTACAACACGACTTCTCTATAACACTCATCCTCCCTACTGATGGCCCAATCTCGAAATCTCAAAACACTTTCCTCAACACCCTTCCCTCAGGCATCAATTATCTCCTTCTCCCTCCTGTTAACTTCGATGATTTATCAGATGATGTTCTTATGGAAACGCGTATTTCCCTTACTATAACTCGTTCTCTTTCTTCTCTACGTGAGATTTTTAAGTCTGTTATCGAATCTAACAGAGTAGTGGCCTTTGTGGTTGATTTATTTGGTACTGATGCATTTGATTTAGCAAATGAGTTCAATGTGTCACCTTATATGTTCTACACTACCACGGCTACGATGTTGTCTCTAGATTTGTATTTTCCGGAGCTTGATGAAATTGTTCGTTGTGAGTATAAAGACTTGCAAGAGCCTGTTCGTATTCCAGGTCAGAGACGAATCTAAAATTTTAATTTTAGTTTGTTGTTTTGATATGACACACTTTTTCCTTTTAACTTGTTACTAGAAAAAAAAAGCCATTACTATATTTTTATATTTTTTAATATTCACTTTATTTCATTTTAGTCATCATACATAATTAAATAAACATTTAAACTTGATGACAGATGACAAGTAAACACTTTAGTTTAGCTTTGAATATGTATATCTAATTAAATGTAACTCTTTCCGAGTACATGTCATTTGAACATGCTAGCTTTTATATTCACAAATATTATACTCCTGCTGTCCCAATTTACCTGACACATTTCGTATTTCGAGATTTAAATAAATCTTTCTTTAACCGCAGGATGCAGACCTATACACGGAAAGGATCTTCCAGACCCACTTCACAATAGAAAAGATGATGCATACAAATGGGTTCTTCACCATACTAAGAGGTTCAGAATGGCTCATGGCATTATCTTAAACAGCTTCATTGATTTGGAACCTGAAACAATTAAATATCTACAAGAGGCATATAATAATAAGCCAAAAATTTACTCAATTGGACCACTTACACTAATGGATAAAAAAATTGATGATGACGTGTCACAATGTTTGACATGGCTTGATAAGCAGCCACGTGGATCAGTAATCTACATTTCATTTGGGAGTGGTGGGACCCTCTCACATGAACAAATAATTGAACTGGCAATAGGATTAGAAATGAGTGGACAGAGATTTTTATTGGTAATTAGATGTCCAAATGATAGAATTCCAAATGGCACTTATTTCAATAACCAAAATTCAACTAACCCTCTTGATTTTTTACCTATTGGGTTCTTCGAAAGGACCAAAGGGTTAGGTCTTGTGTTGCCTAATTGGGCACCACAAGTTCAAGTTCTTAGCCATGTGTCGGTTGGTGGATTTCTGACTCATTGTGGGTGGAACTCGATTTTGGAGAGTGTGGTTTGTGGCGTTCCACTTATTGCTTGGCCTCTCTTTGCAGAACAAAGAACAAACGCGGTGATGTTAACTGAGGATTTAAAAGTGGCACTAAGGCCGAAAATTCGTGACAATGGTATCGTTGGGCGATCGGAAATTAGTGAAGTGGTGAAAGAATTGATGGAAGGTGAAGAGGGAAAAGAAGTGTGTATTAGAATGAAAGAGCTAAAAGATGCAGCAAAAAAAGTATTGAGTGAAGATGGTTCTTCAACTAAAGCACTAGATGAACTTGCTTTTGAGTTGAAAAAATGTGTCACATGATTAATTAGATCACTGATTATATTATCCCTAAATTATTACGAGTGTTTTAGTTCTAATTCTTGAGACATTTGTTGGAAAACTGAAGTCATAATTCTCTATTATATATGAGTATATATGAGTATATGTACGTTGAAATCAAAAGAACTATTCCATGGGATAAGTTATCTCGCGATTTTATCCCAACCAAACATGAGATAAGTTCATCTTAAAATTTATCCCGAAATTTTCCTACCCTCAATGTGGAATGAAAATAACACTACAATCTCGAAATAAATTATCTCACGATTTTATTCCATTCAAACACGGAATAAGTTCATCCTAAAATTAATCTCAAAATAAGTTATCATTTTTCTGTCACACCAAACTAGCCGTATATGTATGTGGTATAAAACAACATTTAACTTATAGGGTGTGTTTGGAATGAAGGAAAACATTTCCAATTTTCTCATGTTTGATTGGGTTAAATGTTTTGGAAAATGTTTTCCAAATCAACTCATTTTCCTCAAATTCAAGGAAAATGACTTCCCTTCAAAAATCAAGGAAAACATTTTCCAAAACTTTCCACCAATTTCAAATTACAATTTTTTTGTTGAAAAAGTAAATTTAAATCTTATTTTAAAAAAATATTTTCAACTTCAATTTTTTTATCCCATCCTCACCCCGACCCACCCCCCTCCCTCCAGCCCCCTACCACCCCCACCACCACCCCTAAAAAGAAATAAATTAAA